TATTATTATTATTATTTTTGCCTGGTGATCTCTTCTTCTCTTATTATTATTATTATTATTATTATTATTTTTATTTTCGCCTAGTGATCTCTGGTGATTCTATTATTATTATTATTATTATTATTATTATTATTATTATTATTTTCGCCTGGTCATCTCTTATTATTATTATTATTTATTATTATTATTATTTTCGCCTGGTGATCTTATTATTATTATTATTATTCGCCTTATTATTATTATTATTATTAATTTCGCCTAGTGATCTCTTATTATTATTATTATTATTATTATTATTATTTTCGCCTGGTGATCTCTTATTATTATTATTATTATTATTATTATTATTATTATTATTATTATTATTATTATCATTTTTTGGCCTGGTGATCTCTTATTATTATTTTTTTTTTTATTTTCGCCTGGTGATCTCTTATTATTATTATTATTATTATTATTATTATTATTATTCATTTTTATTATTATTATTATTATTATTATTTTTTCTGGTTTTTGATGATCTCTTATTATTATTATTATTATTATTATCATTTTTGCCTGGTGATCTCTTATTATTATTATTATTATTATTTTTGCCTGGTGATCTCTTATTATTATTATTATTATTATTATTATTTTTGCCTGGTGATCTCTTATTATTATTATTATTATTATTTTTGCCTGGTGATCTCTTATTATTATTATTATTATTATTATTTTTGCCTGGTGATCTTATTATTATTATTATTATTATTATTATTATTTTCGCCTGGTGATCTCTTATTATTATTATTATTATTATTTTTGCCTGGTGATCTCTTATTATTATTATTATTATTTTTGCCTGGTGATCTCTTATTATTATTATTTTCGCCAGTAAAATCTTTAAACGATCTGTTCTTCTCGCTTTTTTTTCAATTTGTCTCTTTTAGTCAAATTGTTTTCTAAATAACCTGATATTTATTTTTATGTAGATTTGCAGGCTGATATTTTGTTTCTTGCTTATCGTTTTTTCTTTCCACGACATTCTTCAGAATTTAGCATAATAAGCTTTTACAAACTGATAGTTTCATCTTACAACCACACTTTGAATTTTGAACTGATGTTCACCCGATACCACGGCCCAACAAACTAAAAAAAAAACAACTCCACACTAACATCACATCTACGTAACACAATCATACACAATTTGAAATTAATATAATAAAGATGAAAACTACCGCTGAACGGACTTCGAATTTAATTTTATTTCTGTTTTTTATTATTATTATTGCTGAAGCCATTTGAAGGCTTGAAAGCTAAACATGAAGGTCAGGTGAGTTCTCTTAGCAGACGATTGTTTTCAGTGTATAACACAGTATAAAAAGGAAGTGCACAAACTCACTTTCTCTTTTATGTGTCTATAACTACAAGATGGCGTAGTGATAAGTTTTTTCTCGTTTACCTTTCGATGGGAACTATTTCCTGGGCATATAACATGCCCCATGGTGTAGCACTTGTAGGATAAACACTACGCCCTCTTATTTTTTTAGAAAAAACCTAATACAACCACAATAACATTTCTCCGGAAGTTAATCCCTTACATGTATATATTTCCCTCCTTTTATGGTATCCCGTGGTGTTTATATATATATATATATATATATATATATATATATATATATATATTATCCGAGATTAAAAAATAATCATGTTAAAAATCGCTACCCAATATCAATCGTGTTTCAAAAGTACAAATATGTCTCCTCAGCGTCAGGCGATATTAAATTATTGGTGAATGAACGATTAATTTCAAAAGCAGACTACATCCTTTTTTTAAAAAATAATAAAGAAAGTGAAGACAAAAAAAAACGGAATTAAAATTATGCTTGTTGGTTTCCCGTGACTACACATTCAAATATGAGACATAAGTCATGACATGAAGTTGTCTATATAGAAATCTTAGACAATTTCGTTTGCAACTGATACAAATGATTACATTATTTCATAAAATATAAAGAAGTATGACGTTCAACTTTCACTGGAAGTTAAGGGGAAAGAGGTAGAAGGATAATCTAACATAATTTTAACAAAATATACGGTTGGTAGCTGATGATTAAAAGGCTTCCTTAAGAAACCGGTAAAAAACACAAAAAAGTAATAAAAAAAACGAAATCATAAATTCAAAACTACTTTGGTAAATTAATATACAAGCGTTAAGTAAAGAATATCCATAGAAGATGTTAATAATCCAGACTTATCAATAATGAATTTTATATAATAGAATAGAAACCATAAAAGGTGCACCTCAATACATCTATCAATTATTACTGTAAGAAAAAGTATTATCAAATTGGAAGTTTAACCATAATGTAAGGTAAAATGTATACTATGCCTACAATTTACAGTTAGTTCACTTCTTTGGTTTAATAAGGAGTCTTTATCAATAAATTTGCTAATTTCTATTTTTTCATGCAAGCATAAGAAACAAAGTTCATTTAAAGGGTGTATACGTTCTAGCTTTTTTAATACTTTCCATTTTACCGTAGAATTTTTATTAATTTCTTTTAAATTCCAATATTTGTAGAAAGTGATGTACTATTGTAAAATGAGACTACGAAAAATCAATGAAATAATGTTAAATAATTTAGGAACGAACATACGGAAAATATTTCAATAAAAAAAGAAACAATCATACAAACAGACATGTGAAGACGCGAAAATGCCATACCTGCAAATGAAGAAACCGATAAAACACAAATATTCTAAATTGTTTGCTGATGACTAACGGTAGGTGAAAGTACTTAAACATTGGATAATTTTATTTAAGTACTTATCGAAAACCATCTGGGTGATCTTTATCCACTGTGCCATGTGTCCTCAAGGACATTAGACATGGCACGTGGAACTAGAACAGTTTACGCCAGCGGACGAAATAAAAGGTTCCGTTTGACATTTCAACCACATGAAGAAGGCCGGAGCGTACAACGGCCGAAAATGTTGTATTAAATATGGCAACAAAGATAAAGACAATAGTCCGAGTAATATAAATAGTGTACATAATATCTAATCTCAGAATTATAGACAGATACTGAAAGTTTGTTTTACAATAAAAATATAAAATATGCGAAATAAAGTCCAGAGAAAGTCAAACGACATTATAACAAATATAGAAAACGGAAAGGTTGTACTTTTCTGAATGCTTTTCAAGTAATAAATCCAATGTCCGTAGCAACCTTTCTTGGTATCTGTGAAGAAAACAATTTCACACCAATCATTTAATTTTACTTAGATGAGGGAGAGAGAGCTTGATTTTGTTTCAGTCTTCGGCTGGTGGTATCAACTTTTCTTCTATGTCGTTGTTTTTGACCGGAGTGACTTAGATTCAATGAACAGCTAAGTTCAACCCCTGAATAGGATTTATCTGCATCTCCTTGCAGCTGAAGATGTCGTCTCTTCGATTCAATTGAATTCTTTTCTTTTATACACCGAGATCGGCATCAGATTGTTTCTTGGAATTTGGAGCGAAGCCCTCTGACTGGTGCCGAAATAAATCGCACGTCGGTATTTTCCCACAAATAGGAAGGACGCAAAACATTTTTGAAAGTCTATAGTTTTAAGCTGGGGACTAAAACAGTGTCTGTTTGCCTTTAGAAAAGCAGACGATATATGCACAATCAGCTTAAATTGCTTATAACGTGAAGAATTGTTGTGAATACCATGAAGACTTATATTATCGACTACAAAGAGGATGTCTGAACCACGTTTTCACCATTGAGGGATGATAATACATTAAGTAAAACAAAGAAACCTTTAAAAAGACAAATATATGGTTTTTAGCAGTAGGATTAACCCAAGATCCTAACTACGAATTGTAAATGCCAAACCCAACAAGTATCGAAAAATCAGCTATGTTGGTGGTATCTTAAAAAAATGGCTGAAAAAGTAACAACGAAATCAGAAAACACATTGGAATAACAAAAGATGCCTTCCAAACTCAAAGCAAAGTATAATAAACAGGAACATATCCTTGAAAGCAAAGCAAAGAGTGCTGAATTGGTAGTAATATCAATCATCCTCTATGGAAGTCTATGCAGGACAATTTCATCGCGGATTAAGAGGTGACTTGCGGCAAGAAAAATGTGATTCTACGGAAGAATGCTAAGAATGCCATGGATAGAGCATGTAAGCAATAAGGAAGGCTTAAGGAAAGGGGAAATAAAGAGGGTTATATTCAGAATCAAAATGAGACAGCATTTTCTGGATTACCTATTGAGGAAACATGGCTTTAAAAATTTGACTCTCGCAGAACCTATTGGAGGCAAGAGGGACAGACTGAGACGGCAAGTAACCTTACAAGATTGTGTAAATGGAATATTTGAATAGGGAAGTGGAAAAATAGTAAAAACAAAACAAATGTTAAGTGCTAGAAAAGATAGGAAGTTGTGAAGCGCCATCATCACAAATGTCATGAATAATAACTTTTAGGTAGTGATGGTCTCATGAGCAATGACTTCTTTTCCTGTTTTTGTTTAATTGCATCCAGACTATTACAAGAGTGTTCCCAGAGAAATGTGCCGTTAGGATTAAGCTTGACGCCGGCTTTCTTTTGTGACAAGGCAAAGGTTCACTGTGTTGCGCTTGTATGTCGTATCGAACATAGTTTGACTCCAGGGGATTACCATATATTGAGGTATTTACAGAACCATGGTAATGCGAAAAAAATTAAATTCCTTGGAAGTCTGAAAAATACAGCTGGGAAGATGGAATGATGGGATTGTCTACAAGATGGCAGAAAATATTGGAACAAAAAGCTAAATAGACTGTTCCTGTCAAAAAAAAAAAAGATAAAATGCGTCTTAAATCGAACTTAATAAACCGAATGACATTTTAAGGTTTTGTGATTATTTCATTTATTTTCGTGAAATTATAAAGCTTCCGAACTGAAATTATTATGACATTGGTGTTTTTCCATATTCCCAAGGAGTTTTTCGCTTTTTGAATAACGATTTCAGTAATTAATGGAATTTTTCTTTTTCGTTTATTACGTCATTTCCACTCTCAAAATTTTCCACATTCTCTTCATCTTCACTTCCTATTTCATTCTCTTTCCTTTTTCTTTCTTTCTTTCTTTCTTTCTTTCTTTCTTTCTTTCTTTCTTTGTTCGCCCCTCCATTTTCTTTCTCTTCCTCTTTCATATTTATTCAAAACATCCTTTTTCTTTTTCCTTTTTTCTCCTTGTTCATTCATTCATTCATTCATTTATTCATTCATTCATTTATTCATTCGTTTTTTTTTTCTTTCTTTCTTTCTTTCAGTCTCTGTTTTTCAGTCTTCTTTTATTTCGTTTGTCTCTTTCATTTTCTTTCTTTCTTTTTCATCGTCTATTTATCTTTCACTTTCACTTTCACTTTCACTTTCATTCATTAATTTTTCTATGTTGTCTTACTCTCTATCTTATTTTTATTTCTTTTTCTTTCTTCCGTTTTCTTTCTTCTTCTTCAGTTTTGTTTTTATTTGTCTTTTTTTCTCCATTCCTATCATTTCTTTTTTTCCTTCTTCTTCGTTCAGTATTTTCTTTCTTTCCCTTTTTATCATCCACTTTTCTTCGTTTCGCTTCTCTTCAATCACTCTGTTTCTATTTCCACAGCCTTTATTTATATCTTGCTTTTCCTTTACCTTTTCATTTTTCTCTTTCTTTTACATTTTCTCTTTCTTTTACTCTCTCTCTCTCTCTCTCTCTCTCTCTCTTTCTTCCATTTCGTCGTTCCTATTTTTACCCTTCTCCTTTTTTTCTTAATTTTTCTCATTATTGATATGAGTTCTTTCTTTCTTTCTTTCTTTCTTTCTTTCTTTCTTTCTTTCTTTCTGTTCAAATCGACTCTCATAAATACAACTACAAATCAACTGAAACCTTCATGCACTCATCGTATTATCATTTGTCCAGTATCGATTACAAAATCGATACAAGATGTCTAAAATCAGGCTACGATGGCTGGAATCTAAATTATTTTCCTACGGACGACATCCACTCGGCGTGTGGCGAATTACTGAAAAGGGAATCTTTCGTGATTCTAAAGACATTTTAAATATTCTGCGAAGACATCCACAAGTACGAGACCGAATTTAATTCACTCAGCCAAGAAACGGACACGTCTAGAATCTGTTATTTAACTACGGCGAATCTTCTTCTATATGCAGTGTCCCTTCAGGTCGTGGACGATCATAGCTCTCCACAACTTCCTCCATTTTTTAGCTCTTAGTAGTCCCTTTTGCTATCACTCGTAATCACTATTCTGTCAAACATTTGTACCAGTTCGATACATCACACGCTGCTTTCTTCTGTTCCGCTTTCTTCACTATGTGAGTATCAAATTTTCCAAGCTTTCTTTCCTCATTAGGTGACCTAGAAATTCCAACTGTCTCCTTTTGATTCTAATCACAAGATTCCATTTTCCCTAAAATTTCGTCATTGTTCCCATGTACTATCTCCATATATTCTCAGTATCCTTCTGGAGAAACACATTTCTGTTGATTCAAGTTTCATCTGCAATTGAGAGTAGATTGTCCAGCATTCACTGCCATATAGTAGGACCGATATTACTTTTGTGATGTCAACGAATACTCGTTGTCACTTTAGTAATGTTCGTTGTAGTAGAGACTTTGTAATAGCAGATACAATCTATAGCAACGCTGTTGATCAATACTGGTGTCAGACGTCTTCGAATATCATTCGCACTCATAGTACTTGCTCGATGATACTCACTCGAAAGTAACCACCGTATGGTGACCTGAATAGAGAAATAGTATAGTGAATAGAGTAGAGAATAATAGTCCATATAGTATAGATGATAGAGTAGAAGTGCAGACCCAAATAGTAATAGAGGATTGTCTAGAAGGGTGATCCATTTAGACGTTACGCTAACTTCCATATATGCGTTTTCTCTATGGTCACGTGGTCTACTTAATTTAATAATGGGATCGTCCGTGTTTACTCACTGGCGATCTATGTTCAAACTCAGTTGTCAGCAGCGAAACTTTATATAACACTTTATCCTATATAACAATGACGTAACAGTTCATTTGAAACAATTTTTTCTCTGTTTCTTAATATTTTCCTTAGCTTCTGGAAGGCATATTTCGATATCCCAATACGCCTTCTGATTTTAACTACGATGAATACGTCTGTTAAATTGCGTGATAAATGATATATATGTCAGGCATCTTAGAAGGTTCGCTAATGGTAGAAAAGTTCTGTTGTGTCGTGGTTTATTACCATAGCTTAGTTTGGTGCAAAGTCAAAAGTACGAGGTAACAAGTGAGGTTCGAACTCACTATTCAAATGAATTCGCTGCCCCCTCACACAATTTGCGTCCAAAGTTCTACTGTGATAATCTTATATAAAAATGTTACCCCCGCCGAAATCTACAGAGAGACGTGCAAACAACTGACAGCCATAATCGCAACAGCACATGATAGTATAGTATGTATATGTATGTATGTATGTATGTATGTATAGCTGTTTATTTTATAATAAAATGCATTATGTATGTATGTATTTCTGTTTATTTTATTATAAAATGCATTATGTATGTATGTATTGCTGTTTATTTTATTATAAAATGCGTTATGTATGTATGTATTTCTGTTTATTTTATTATAAAATGCATTATGTATGCATATATGTATTGCTGTTTATTTTGTTATAAAATGCATTATGTATGTATGTATGTATTGCTGTTTATCTTATTATAAAATGCATTATGTATTTATGTATGTATTGCTGTTTATTTTATTATAAAATGCATTATGTATGCATGTATGTATTGCTGTTTATTTTATTATAAAATGCATTATGTATATATGTATGTATTTCTGTTTATTTTTTTATAAAATGCATTATGTATATATGTATGTATTGCTGTTTATTTTGTAATAAACTGCATTATGTATGGATGTATTGCTGTTTATTTTATTATAAAATGCATTATGTATGTATGCATGTATGTATTGCTGTTTATTTTATTATAAAATGCATTATGTATGTATGCATGTATGTATTGCTGTTTATTTTATTATAAAATGCATTATGTATGTATGCATGTATGTATTGCTGTTTATTTTATTATAAAATGCATTATGTATGTATGTATGTATGTATTGCTGTTTATTTTATTATAAAATGCATTTTTAAACTTAAATTTTGTTTTTGTTTGGGGCTTCATTATTTCCACATAGCTGACATGGGGCACTAACAGGTACTGCCACCCGGGTCTGCGTGGACCTGTTAACAACAGTAATCAAGTGGTGGTTTCACGTTCCTCAAAAATTCCACTATCCAGATAATAGACCTTGCTGCCGGATGTAGTTTATCGTCATACCCAGGACTACAGAATAATATAAGATGTCTTTCAAAAACTAAGCGAGCTATTAAAAGATAGGTAAGTAACGTTAGAATGTCTGTATTTTTCGTTAGTTCCTTCTTTAAATAATTATATAATATTTCAACACAAAAGGACAGATTAAGTCCATCTTGATCGGAAACGAGGAAAGCGTAAAGAAAGAACTAAAGCAGCCAAATGTGTGAGCTTCAGATTGGAAACAATTGACTCATGTAATGCTGATATCCAAAGGGGTATCGGAAAATTAATTTTTGGTGAATAGATTTCCTTTTAGCGATATATCAACCTGTATGAGTTATTTAACGCTGAAATTTAAATATTTTGAACACAATTTCATAGCTGCAACTAAATATATTTTGAACAAAATTGGAAGCCTTAAACTATAAGTATAGGATTTGTGTAGACGGAATAGATTCCAATAACCAAAATACTATTCTTAAAAGATTTACACAGTAGAGCAAATATTATTCATTCAAGAATTCTAACATATACATGTTATAGCATCATTACAAAAACAGCCATTTTTATCTTATCTAAGATATTTAAATTATTATTTGAATTATTATTATTATTATTATTATTACTATGAATTAATTTAGAATTTATTAATTTATAATTAAATTATTATTTAAATTTAAAATATTACTTATATGGCCAAGAGTATATATATTGCCCACGCAAATAATGTTTTAATAGTTTGCATTCGCTTATTAATACTTTCTGACTTGAATCTTTGTGGATTTGTCTATGTATAGTGATTTTTCAAGCGTAGCTTAGATGTGGCACAAGACTGAAAGCATAGGGCACCCAGTGAGGATCGAACTCACTACTCAGTCGTAATTGCTCTTGCAAGACAAGCCTGCTAAACATTACACCGCCTCGAGGTGCCGTGGTGGGTTTTTGTATATGTCTATGCCTTTATTACTGGATGTGTGTATGATTGCATATATATGCCTTTCATTGTATGTATATGTTGTCTGATATTATATTTCTTTCTCTCTCTTTTTTTTTTTTTGGTCGTGCACATCTATTTCCTGTTTCATCCGTGTTTTTGCGTGTTCATATGTCTAAATATGCCTGTATTTGTATATTATAATGTAATTGTTTATGTATTGTCATTTGCAACATTTCTTCCCCTGCCCACATTATCATTTCAAATGTATCTAAGTTGTTTCAATATTTGTATCCCCTTAGACTAGCGTTTGCTCTAACAGAGATTTTGGCTTCTCGATTAAAACAAAATAAAAAATAAAATGTGTGTATTTTTCGCATGTTGCTTCTTTAAATAATTTTATAATATTTTACAGTTAATGCAGGTTAAATTTAAAATTGGTAATTTTTATTTTCAATTTCAGAGTAAAACTTAAGGTTATAATCACTCAGAATGATTTCTATTTTAGTCAAACATTAACATTGAGGCATTAATAATTATAACCAAGGTTCGTTGTCAGGTTTTTTGAATTTTCATATACTTGTATTTTGATTGGTCATTTTTGAATTTTCATATACCTGTATTTTGATTGGTCATTTTTGAATTCTCATATACTTGTATTTTGATTGGTCATTTTTGAATTCTCATATACTTGTATTTTGATTGGTCATTTTTGAATTTTCATATACCTGTATTTTGATTGGCCATTTTTGAATTCTCATATACTTGTATTTTGATTCGTCATTGTAGCTTATGTAACAGCGTTTCCCCAACGTTATAAGACCCAAGAAGTGTTGAAATAAAATGGCTAATTTTGTAATGATGTTATAACATGTTTATGTTATAATTTATATATATATATATATATATATATATATATATATATATATATATATATATATATATATATATATATATAATAAAAAACTTAAACACTAATATGGAATATTAGTGTTTTTTTTATTATATCCTTACTCTGTCTGGACATTGACTTCTACCTGGATTCTATCCTCTTGGAATTATTTTTTATACAAATATATATATATATATATGCCTATATATATATATATATATATATATATATTTAGATATATGATTGCATATGTATGTGTATATTTACCACTAATATTATCTATCTATCTATCTATCTATCTATCTATCTATATATATATATATATAAGTGCGTAGGTAGGCAGAAAATAGAAAAGAACACGTTGGGTGCATAATCCGGGCTTCCTTAGTATTTTTGTTTTATTTTTCCTCACTGGAAACCAACTAAAGGGTGACCGCAAACATTAGCCTTGAAATAGATACCCTACCCAACCTTAGCAAAACCTCTCAGAAGATGATGAATCTATTGATAAGAATTAACTCTCTGACCACTTAACGTAGGAAAATAGTCTAGCCACTCCCACAATAACGAATTCTGTAACGGACCATGCCTAAAAACACACGTAAACCAAGAGATAGCTTATTCCTAAAATTTCGCTTGAAGATGAAACGAGACTAAACACCACAATTCAACTTAATTTTAATAATTATTTGGATGATGTCGGCTTTCGTTTTTGAAACATGAAAACTCTTTGGTAGCAAGGAATCATATTTTTAAACAAAAAATATTATATATATATATATATATATATATTGCTGTTTATTTTATTATAAAATGAATTATATATGTATGTATGTATGTATGTATGTATTGCTGTTTATTTTATTATAAAATGCATTTTTAAACTTAAATTTTGTTTTTGGGACACTAACAGGTACTGCCACCCAGAGTCAGAGTGGACCTGTTAACAACAGCAATCAAGTGGTGGTTTCCCGCTCCTCAAAACCTCCACTGTCCAGATAAGAGACCTTGCTGCCGGATGTAGTTTATCGTCATACCCAGGACTAATATAAGATGTCTTTCAAAAACTAAGCAAGCTATTGAAATATAGGTAAGTAACGTTAGAAACAAGGAACATGTCTGCGGAATATGATATCTAGTCTCCAATATGGCAGTGAATGCTGGTCTATTTCCGCACAGAGGATGATACTTGAAATAGCACAGACATGGATCTACAGAAGGACGGTAAGAATACCATGCACGGAACACTTGTGCAGTGATAACGTTCTAAAGCAAAATGCTCTATAAATCAACTTATATTTCAATTCATAAATGAGGAAAGAGGGCTTGGGAAAAGTAACGCCCTTTGAATATACTGAGGGAAGGAGCAGCAGACAGAGACGGAGAGTAATGAGTTTAGGGTGAATGAATAACAGAGCGAGGATGGTCAAGAATCGGATGGGGCATTGGTGAACAAGTGACAAGGAAGTTGTGGAGAGCTATGAACATTCACGTTCTGACGGGACAGCCATATAAAAGAAGTTCCTTCCCTAAGTTTGATGTGTTACACGATATCCTGATCATTCTTTTATTTGTTCTCACAGCATCGGTTGACATCTACGGCCACTCTGAGTAACGTCCCTTCAAAAACCGATACGTTAATATAACGAGTTCGATCCGTATCTGAAGATTTGTTCACCACAAAACTGACTTAAAATTGTCTCTCAGTGTTGTGTCGGAAACCTACCACCCCTCTTGAAGATGAAATTGTCTGCGTCTGTGAACAGAGACTTTAAATAGTGGCATGTCAGTTGACATGGAAAAAAGACAGATAGACAGAGAAGTTCTTAGCTGAGCTAGTTATTGACTACTCAGGCGATTTCTGTACCTTTTTACCAACCTATTAAAACCCTTTTTATTGTTACGTGTTATTTGGCGTTTGTCTCTACTAACCCCAAATCCACATCATAACACTCAGCGAAATTTAATAGAAAAGAAATTTCACCGTTTGATGACTTCACAACAAATTAAATATTACTTTCTTTAATGCGACTTTTTGGTCAGTTTTCATTTTGTCAAGATTTAATGTATGGGGATTAAGTAATTATTAAGGACGGCAGAAATAATATTTGAAATATTATTAGCCAAACGGGATATGTTTTTTTTAATCGAATTCATAATTTCTTCCAGTCTTTACGTCATTCAGAATGGCGGAAAATGATGATAGACAGAACCAACATTAAAAAAAATGCAGCAAGGAAAGAAAAAAATAAACGAGTATTTGTAAATGAACTCTTATAGAGAATCTAAGAATTTCTTATAGTTGGTCAAGTTATCTCATCTTTGAAACCTGCCGAATGAAGAGAAAAAATGTACATTCTGTAATTAGATTTTCCTTGATTTCAAGGAAGGCCATGACAAAGGATTATGGGTGGTACTGGATTCAAGAATAAAAAAAACTGTTTAAGATACATTGGGAAATGGAAATATATTAAAGATATATTGAAAAATGGAAAGAGATTAAAGATACAACGGGAAGTGGAAAGACATTGAAGATGTTTGGGAAGTGGTAAGTCATTAAGCATATAGTGGGAATTCGGAAAACATTAAAGGTATAGTTAGAAGTGGAAAGACATTAATTATACATTATAGTGGGAAGAAGAAAGTCATTAAAACTATAGTGAGAACTGGAAAGACATTACAGATATAGTTTGAAGTGGAAATCATGAAAGATACAGTGGGAAGCGGACTGTCATTAAAGATACATTGGGTAGTGACAGATAAAGTGGGAAGGAGAAATACATTAAAGATACCGTTGAAACTGGAAGGATGTGAAAGATATTGTTGCGAGACCGTAACATAGCTACAACATTGACTCTTCCAGGACTATATAAAGTATGCGATATAACACTCTAGGAGAAGAGGAGGAGGAGGAGGAGGAGAGAGAGAGAGAGTATTCTAATACCGTAGTATCAGCCGCGGACAACTACCAATATTGAACACTAGCACACAGTAAGCTCCGCTTACGCTTACACTATCTTTGTAACCTTGTTGTTTAATATATCTTTCTTACCTCTAATCCGTGTTCCGTGTTTTCCTTCCGTGGTCCCAAATTTGGGTCCACATCAGATATATAGCGAACTGGAATGATATTTGTTATGATGCTGATTTGGGGTTTGTAGAGACAAACGCCAAATAACACGTAACAATAAAAAGGGTTTTAATAGGTTGGTAAAAAGGTACAGAAATTGCCTGAGTAGTCAATAACTAGTTCATCTTCAAGAGGGGTGGTAGGTTTCCGACACATCAATATTAAAGATAAAGCTGGAATTGTGAAGATAGAAGCGATACAGTAGAAACTGGAAAAATATTAAAGTCACAGTTCGAATTGGAATGGTATAAAAGATACGGTGGAACCTAGAAAGATATTAAGATTTCCGAAGATAGAATTGAAATGAAACAACAAAAAAATAATTTAAAAAAATAAACAAAACTAAAACTGAACACAAAATAATTTATAATCTTATACGTGTTACAGGCGATAAATCCCTATTCTGGAGCCACAGAACAGGGAGGTTTCCGAACTAGGCGATTTGCGGACTTTGGAGGCTTTATGAATTGTTATTACCCTCAGCTTGCAGCATGTTACTCATTGCCACAAAATTTCTTGAATTTGCTTCCTGGGTTTTAGCTTTACATTTCAAATTTGACCTCGACGTTGTCAAAGTTTTATGTTTTTAACAGTTCTTCTTAGAACGTTCTAGGGGACGAAAGATAAACACAGGCAGACCTACATTCTTATTTGACAGAATGAATTTGTTACCCACTTTTTATTGCATAATCTTTGCATAATATGCTTATGCTTTCTTTGACTTTTGTTTAAAATATCAAAATGAAAAAAAAATCTAACAAATAGAAAGAAGGAAACCTATAGACAACAAAACACGGATAGTAAAAATAAATGTCAATTCTAAAAGTTATTTAACATTCTCGAACGGTATTGTAAAAAAGTAAATAATAAAAAAAAGAAAAAGAATAAATACGTCGCGACTGCATCATAATTAGTTTCTCTAATCAATATTCAAGAAGATGATAATTAATCTTATAGCACCTGATCATTCATACCTGGTGAAACAATACCTTTAAGAAGATTTGCACTAAATGTCTGTTATTTTGCTTTTCTTTCAGCATCATTCATCGTTTGTTTTGTTATGATATTTTTTGTAATACCATAAGTAGCCTGTTTACGTGAATTTTCAGATATGGAGCGCTTTTTGAACAACATTTGTACTATATTCCCAGAGTCTCACCATACTTGATGTTAGTGATGTGTTTTTAGGGGTGAAGTTGTCATTCCCTCTACCCGTTAATTTTTCTTTCTTATGCGCAATTTTTTTTTCCTAAAGAGACCACGCTGCTCTATTATTTAACCCATAGCTGGAAGTCGATTAATGCATTTCCCAACTTTATTTGTGTGAAATTGAACGCAATGACGTTGGTCGGAATTTGCTTTCCGCGCCGATAACCCGCTCACTCCTGGATTAGAGCATAGTTTAAAAAAATGCCCATTGTATAATGCTTTTTACGTCAGGTATATGAGATCCACGTATAGTTGCTATAGAATCTTACCTACGCTTTTCGTTCCCTGTTGGAATTTGCTTTTCTTTAATTGATTCGTTTTCTACGGCTTATCAGCACTTTGCTGCCTATTTAAAACTAGATCGTACTATATTTTTTTTGAGATAATAATGATTTATTGATACAAGTATTACTGATTAACCCATAGGTGTGCGGGAAAAGAGGTGGATTCATACATTTACAAATAGTATTTGCGCATATGTTAATATAACGAACCTAACGGAAATTGGAACTCGGTTCGAAAATTAACAATTCAGAGCCATTGATCAGTACCCCATTGTACACACGCATCTAAGCTTACAACACCTGATATTCCCAAGAGGTCACTCGTTACTGACCAGGCTCGACGTTGCTTAATTTTGGTGATCGTACGGGAACCATTGTTTCAATAGGATAAGGCCGTAAGCTCTCAAAGCAAAGGTGGTTATTTATCCAGCTAAGAAAATACACCTAACGAATTATTATAAGCGAGAAGCGAGCAAGAAAAAAATGGCTAACAATTAAATACGTGGAATGCCTGGTTTTCAGCAAAAGAGCTGAAGTTACGAGCTACGCATTTGGCGGATGTCCAAATCACGTAAATGCAGAGATATAATTGTGTCATGTAATAACAGGCGGCGGAAACAATTACACTAAACTCCCAAGGCATAATTGCGAAAGATGCTCTTCAGATTATGACAATAGATGAACAAATTCGGATAGAAACAAAGAGGTGTTTGTATGCTGTTATATCTTATCACCTACAGGGTGCCTCCACAACAAAACTGAAAATTTGGTACAGTTTATTTAATTGTTGGAATTTTTGTTACAGTTATTTGAAAAGAAACCAAAGGATAGAAATTTAGTAGCTTAAAACAGAGCAAAAACAAAAATATTAGATATAGTGTTCAAACTTGATATAATGGAATATGCATACACCTGTGTTCGCCCTCACTGGAATTTGATTGGCTGATGTCCGTCATAAATACAGACGGACGTGTAGGTATGACGGAGTTTAAGTCTATGACTACGCCCATTGAACTATGTCATTGGCTATCCTTTTGGTCTACACATATTACCTGCGACTACGACGAGTACCAGTCGATTACTGCAATCGTGTACTACTTGGTTACAGTAGGTAAACCCACTTAGCTACTTCGATCAAATATATCCCTTTCCGGGACATATCAAAACTAAAGAACTCTGTCAAAATTTCTTAGAGGTGGATTCATACATTTACAAATAGTATTTGCACATATGTGAATATAACGAACCTAACCGGAATTGGAACTCGGTTCGAAAATTAACAATTCAGAGCCATTGACCAGCACCCCATTGTACGCACGCATCTAAGCTTACAGCACCTGGTATTCCCAAGAGGTCACCCATCTCGTTACTGACCAGGCTCGACGTTGCTTAATTTTGGTGATCGTACGTGAACCTTTGTTTCAATAAGATAAGGCCATAAGCTCTCAAAGCAAACGTGGTTATTTATCCAGCTCAGAAAATTCACCTAACGAATTCTTTTTCAGATTTCAACTTGGATGTTCTTTGTTAAAGACAGCAATCATGTCGTGTTGAAAATTTGGCAACTGCGGCATCCGAGAACAACAATGGGTTAAAGAATTTATATGTTAGTTAAGTTTTTTTTAGTTTATTCATGTAGTAAATTGTATAGTTATTTTTTATTAGTTACATTTTTCATCATATAGTAAATTGAAGATTTCCTGTTTTTTGAGGGCCATCCTGTATAGGGAATAAGAAACATGAAACAACATAGACATGGTTCTAATAAAGAATTCTAAGAGTTCTATGGACAAAATTTATCAGCCAAAAGGAACGATTAAAGTGAAGCCGTTTCCTTATGCAAAAAAAAAAAAAAAATACAAACAGCATTCTGTACTCATTAACCGAGCAGCCAATGGCACTTTCGCTTGAAATTCATGAAAACTTTCTCTTAAAACAATTTTTCAAGAAAATAAGTTTCTCGACACGATTGACTGTTATCGCTCTTTTCAGTATTGGTTGGGTTTTCAGTCCTAACATTTTTGTTTGAATTGGCGTAGAACGTCGACATGTTGATTATGTTATTAATTTCTCTTTGACTTATATGCGATATCCATTTCAGTTGTTGCCTTTAATGAAAGATTTCATGTAATGTGTTTTCTGGTATTTGTCACAATTCTGTGTTTGTGCTTCCGTAGGCACCAGTCTACAAGGTTTGAATAAGGATGGTCCTCACTAAGACCTACAGGGTTCATTCGCTAGAAGATAGTTTCAAACATTGATTTGAGAAAGCGGTTGTATGAAAGTGGCTCTTTAGATATTTCTGAACCGGTTTGGCATCGTGAATGTCATCTACATGAAAGTCTTGATCTGACAGGGCTATTTAAGAATATGATTCGACTTATTTAAGTTAATGTTTTAGTTTTGTAACAGTTTGCGGTATTGTGAAAAAACTGTCCCTAGGACAGCTTAATCTATGTTCAATTTCTTTATGTCTTATACTAAATTTCTTATAACTGATCCATACACCGAAATATTTTAAAGTGTGTGTGTGCGTATATATATATATATATATATATATATATATATATATATATATATATATATATAAGTGAATACATAAGGCCAGCATTACCTGACGATACGTTTACGTGAAACCTAGGGTAGGTTTGCCTGGCTCCTTAGGTTTATCTCAAGTTTGCTCTACTTCGTGTATTGAGCACTTTACGTAGTTGCTTTTACTCGTTTTCGAGGTTTTTCTTTGGACTCTGAGCTTGAACTCTGGACGATTGTGTTCGCCTCAGTTTCATGTTCTTAGTTCTTTCGTTTTTTATTCATCATTTTTTTCTTGGGTACTGGCCCAAGTATGCGATATAAAACTCTAAGAGGAGGAGGAGAAGAGAGAGAGAGAGAGAGAGAGAGAGAATGAGAATGAGAGAGAGAATGAGAGTATTCTAATACCGTAGTATCAGCCGCGTACGACTACTATTGGACCGTAGCACATAGTAAGCTCCGCTTACACTTACACTATCTTTGCAACCTTTTTGTTTAATATATCTTTCTTACCTCTAATCCGTGTTCCGTGTTTTCCTTCCGTGGTCCCTACTTTGGGCCCACATCAATATATATATATATATATATATATATATATATATATATATATATATATATAAAGGGAAAATTAATGTCAACATTCAGAGACGAGGCTACTTCATGCTAAACGTAATCATCAGACCATATCGACTACGTTTAGCATGAAATAGACTTTCAATGTCAACTTATATATGTATATAATCTCGATCCCTGATATTGAGCACGTTAACCCATAAATATAGCATAATTTCAATGTAGATTTTGAGCACTCTCTCTCTCTCTCTCTCTCTATATATATATATATATATATATATATATATATATATATATATATATATAAACAATTTGACTCTTAATTTTGTTTTACATTTTAGCACATATAAGTTTTAACGAAACTTTACTGCCCCACCGACCTCTTGACACGAATTCTCCGTTCTTTTAACCATGCAATTCATTACAAGTTTCAACAAGTGTTACCTGTGGGATGATTGCCAGAGAACATATTGCCATGACTGGCACGATTCCAATCGACTTAATTTGTATTGTTGGGCTCTTCCGAAAGCGCCAACAGTTTTGTTAACCCTGACCCCCAAGGCAAGGAACAGCAACAATAGGGCATAGTTAAGGTTCGTGCTGTTCGCAAAAGATTGGCAAGAATTAAATCAATAGATACGGCAGACGGAATAGCCAAGTAAAGCAACGTCGTCACGAATTTGTTTCACTTTTATTTTAGACGATTACCGCCTCCCTTATATTAGAACATTTGGTCTTTATTATTATTATTATTATTATTATTATTATTATTATTATTATTTGATCATTGTGTCTTAACGCCATTAACGAGTTTAGTCTTTCACTGGGATTGAAGTGATAGCAAATTTTGGCATTCTTTCTCTAACCTCACTGTTTTCAAAAACCACTTCCTTGTTTAGATGCTTCTTACTCCTGCTCTTTTTTTTATCCTATTCGACAGTGATCGGATAAATACTGGCATCACTGCCACGATCATGTCCCACAGATTCCGCGGGTCTTTAATAAGGCCAACATATCTATAATCTGCTGTGTGGTGTAATAACGGAATCCACTATCTTGCATGTCAGAGTTCCAATTACTAATGGTACAGTGTCGGTCTTCATTACCCACATCCTGTTAATCTCGATCTCCAGGTTCTTGCATTTGGACAATTTCTCAATGGTTTTATGGAGGTGTTTCTCTCAGATGGTACTGCTATATCAATAAGCATACACTTCCTGAATTTCTTGCCTTTTATAAAAAATATCAAGTCTATTGCTTTTTATTCTTCTGTTAGTTTGAATTGGCACGTCCCAAAGGAAAATTTCATCGTTATTTTGGGTAGTGATTTTCTAAGCGTAGCTCAGATGTGGCACAAGGCCGAAAGTATGGGGTACCCAGTCAGGATCGAACTCACTATTCAGTCGTAATAATTCTAGCGAAACAACCATTACACCACCTCGAGGTGCCCCATCGTTATTTTGGGTAACTATGTCTGGGTGGTGCTCATACCAACTTTCTGTGGTTTCGATTTTGTGCTTCTTGCATATCTTCCAGTGCACATATTTCATAGGTATTTGCCATGCAACGCCTTGTTCTACCAGTATTTTTGTTTATTTATTTGGCCAAGTTGTTTTGCTTTCTGTTTTACTTGTTTGGTGTAGATGGTATTCGCTTCGTTTTTTGTTGGTAGGATTTCAGGTATATTAAACTGTTTCTTGAAGAGTGCAGCTTCTTTGGTGATGGACTGAATTTAGTGTTTTACTATTTTGCAGGAAAGGGTCATTCGTTTTTGCGAGGTACGCTTCCAATCCGATTGTTGTAGTTTTTAGAGTTAGTTCAAATTGGATTAGACCTCGGCCTCCTAAAGCTCTTGGTACATAAAGACTATTAACATCTGATTTCGGGTGGTATATCCTCATTTGGGTAAGCATTTTACTGGTCTTGGCATCCAATCTTTTAATGACATTCAACTTCCATTTAATAATGTTGAATCTGTATGTTTCTACGGGTATAGCTAAGGTGTTACTAGACTTCATTTCATTGGCCACATTTAGCTCGCTTTCTAATATCAAACGCAGTCACCTATAATATTCTTTTCGGATCCATTTTTTTATAATTAAATGTTGTATTCCGTCTCCTTCAGTAATTTTTAAGGATTTTTTAGTACCATCTTAGTCTAGTTCCTTAATCTTGATGTTGATATCAATGTGTAAATCCGTAGCTTTCGTTAGTTTACTGCCTTTCAAGATGGCTTTTGTACATTTGTCGACTCCGAATTCCATCGTAATGTCTTCGCTAAAGGTTTTGACAATGGTGCGTGAGTTTTTCTACTGGTTGTCATCCTTGTCAAACGTTTTAGGATCATCATTATAGAATAGGTCATTCACCTTGCCATTCTGTTCAATAGGCACCTGAGTGGTACTAATGCAAAGCAGAAGAGTAATGGTGACAATGAATCTCCTTGGAAGATCCCGCTTTTTATGTTGATTTGTCTCGGTGTTAATGACCTCTTTGTATGGATTACATTTATTGTAGTCTTCCAGTTTTCCACGCTCTCCATTTTGAATTTGACCCTTGTGCTGCATACTCTATATATTTTAGGCTGTTCTTTATCCATGAGTATGGAACACTGTCGAACGCGTTTTTTAATATATGCATGCTTCAATAAGTTTCTTTTCTTTCTTTTCACATCTTTTATTATTATTATTTTTATTTCCTTTGATATCTGGCGTTTACACATTTCTTTCTTGGTCTCGCCCAGGGACCTAAGTTTAGAAATGGTATCAAGACACCTTTCACTGCAAAAAAAATAAAAAATAAAAAAAAAATTACATAGATAAAGCCCTTCGTAAAGTGTGGGCTATACATGTGAGAACTATTTTTATATCTCTTTGAGGCATGGACTTCCAGGAATCCCTTCAATTAGTCTACTGGATTCTTTTCCAACCAATCCTAGGGCTCCAACTACAACAGGGATTGTTGATGTTCGCATGTGTCACATTTTTGAGATTTCTACTTCAAGGTCCTTGTATTTTGACAGCTTTTTGAATATCTTCAAAAATACATCGCAGTCTGCAGGAACTGCCATATCAATAAGAAGGCACATTATTATTATTATTATTATTATTATTATTATTATTATTATTATTATATGAGAGAGCCACACGCCTCCAGCAAGAAAAAACGTCATTGTGGTAGGGTACAGTATTCGTAGATTTTATACCCATGATATCACACATGTATCACGGCATGTTCGAGATATGGCGATAGCCCTTAATAAAAACAGTACATAATCATGCAGGTAGGGCCCAGTTAAAATAGCTTCAAACGAGGTAAATTTGTTCTAACAGAC